AGAGAATCAAATCGTAGAATCCCTCAAAGAACTAAGAAAACAAGAGCTAGCAGCTGCCTCCGGGCAAGCAGGTGCCTCCCAGCCAACAGCAGAGGTCTCTGCTCAGGTACCTGCTCTTCCTAATCTTCCCCCTAACCTTGAGCAGGCCCTTCTAACAATACAGGCACACGAGGAGTTCATACAACACCTCAAGACCAAGGAGCTTCCTCCCATTCTACATCTCTCACAAAAGGTGGTCACAAAGCAAGTTGAACATTCTGAGGCAATTGGTCAGACACAAGCTCATGTTGCCAAGCACCTCAATGACCTTCACAAAGCCACCCAAGAGGCATTCCTAAAGCATGGAAGTGGCCTTCAAAGACTGGGCCAGAACTTGGAGACAACTAACCAAAGGCTTCAAGGGCTAGAAAATGAAGTCAGAGATGAGGTAAGAACAGATCTGTTGGACGTCAACAACTACATCAAAGCATTATCTATCAAGGTATATGGCTTAGATCCAAGAAAGAGTGCACAAGAAGAAGTTGTTTCTGATCCAGAGATAGAAGCACTGTTCGATGAAAGCAAGACCCCTGCTCATGATGCCAAAAAGGGGGAAGAGCCAACACAAGCAGGCCCCTCCTTCAAAAGATCCCAAGCAGCAAAGAAAGCAGCTGAAACAAGACGAAAGAACCAAATCTACAAAGAAGAGGCTGAGATCAGAAGAAGAAAGGCAGAAGAAGCAAAGGCAAAGGAAGAGGCCAAGAAGAAACAAGAAGAAGACAAACCAGACTAGACTAGATCAAAGTCCGAAATTGACTATAAACTATTGTACCTTAGAAGCTAGAACAATGTACAAAACTCAAATGAAAAAATCAATAAAATATTTTATTCTTGTGTTGTATAGTTTTGGCATCATCAAAAAGGGGGAAATTGTTAGTACCCAATTTTGATAGATTTTGATGATGCCACTATACTTTGCACGTGTATATTGTGTCTTATAAAATAGCATTTGAATTTGAGTGACAAAAATAAATGTACAATTTTTGAGACTAAAGAAATATTACCGGAAAAGTAAAAATGCAATAAGGTAATTTTTATTTACCTTAATAGGATATTTAGATCCTACCGGCATATATTATTTAGCTCAAAGATTAATTAAATGTCACATGTTTTGATGAAAAGAAAAGAAGCTCAAAAATCATATACATTGAATATACATGATTGAAGACAAGCTTGACCAGCATTTAATGCCAAATACGTACTGGGGGCGGAGCATGGGACGCGCACTGAAGATGCTCTCAGCAGAGAAAAATTATTGAAGACAAGTGAATCACCGCATTAAAAGCTCCAGCACAAGAAGACGAATGTGCAAGTCGTCCGTGTCAAACTTCAACGAACAAGATTAATCCATCCTAACCAACGGATGAGATTAATCAACTAGAGAAGCCTATAAATATAGGCTGAAACGAAAGTTTCTAACCAAGCCTGAGCATCCTAAGTAGAGAGATATTTATATTGAGCATTCACGAAATATCTAGCAAAAGAGAAAGTGTTATTCTATACACGATTCTCTGCTTGGACTCTTGCTTCACTAAACTTCTTAGTATCAAGTGTTCATTGCTAAATCCTAGAAGTTTAGTTCCTAGTTGGAGGTTAGAACTTTCTTGTAACCAAATCAGATATTGTTGTAAACACTTCAGGAGTACAGTTGTTCCCGGCCTGAGTGTGGTTAGATAGGTCAGGAGTACCTTTTGATCCCTACTAGATCAATTGAGAAAAACCTAAAGGATTGAGTAGCTTGGAGTGGTGTTGTACTCCTCGTGAAACACCTTCAATCTAGGCCAGAGTTGTCAAGGCTAGATTGACACTAAGTGTACTGGGCTTAATACATTAGTGAAATCCATTTGAATTAGGATGGGACTGGATGTAGGAGGATTACACCACCTCTGAACCAAGATATACTGTGCGTTTTGATTTATTTTCAGTCAGCAAAGCACACACTGAACACTTCTCATAAAAGATTGTACTTTGCCAGCAGCATCCTGAGCAGTAGTCTTAATTTGACCCTACTGCTTATCCTACTGCTTAATAACTCACTTTCTTTGAGATACAAGAGCTTTACAATATCACAACTATAAGGTCTGTTCCATTAGATTTCAGGAAATCCTACTTAAGGCATAGCAGTTGCCTCAGCAGTCCCCTGGTGACTACCCAACTGCTAAGCCTACCGCTCACGCAAAAGTATTTCCTTTGAACATCTCAACTTCACCAGACCTTCACAACTCTATCCCCAAGAAGTCTGTTCAAACTGATCATTGTAATTCAAAGTGGTAACCCAACAGGTGCCTCAGCAGTTCCCTCACTATCACCCAACTGCCGAGACCACTGCTCCAGTAAAACTCCCACTTATTTGGACTAATGCACATCTTCAGAAAGCTCACATCATCCTGAGCAACACCACATAATCAATATTTCCATACCTTCACCTTTATTTAAGCAAGTGCGCAGTTCCCTGGTTACCACCCAATTGCTGAGACCACTGCTCTCATTAAGATTGATTATTAATCTACCTTGTTATATCATCAGAAAGCTCTTCCCACTCTAAGAAAGATTCTGAGTGTGCTGTCATCATACATTGAGTATTTCGCTAGCAGTTGCTTCAGCAGTTCCCTGCTTTCTAGCCAACTGCCAAGCCAACTGCTCACCTTATAAAGCCCAAACTTTATCCATCATAGAAAGTCTTATACACTATTTATCTAAGAGGTTAAAGACTTCCGCTGTGCATCTATAAATCTCTCAAAAGATTAATAGATCAACTCTTTAGAGGGAGAAACGTTTTAAAATTGAAAAAGCTTTAAAAGTCTATTCACCCCCCCTGTAGACTTTTACCTCTATCCGGGACCATCAAAATACCAGTAAAAAAACATTCATGCTCTCATTATATTAAGTCGTGGACATGTATGCCCAAAACATGGGGCCTGAAGTAGCAAGGGACTCGTTGATGGCTTTTATTGTAAAGGGCATTAAGCCAGTCATGGTCATACAGATCAAACATGCTCATTACATAACATCAATATTATAAACGAAGGGGTATGGAAGAGATCATGTCCATAAAGCATAAAATTAAAATTCCTTACCTTTGCAACAAGAAGCCCACGTCTCGTCAAATTGTACATGGAGGTGAGTCAAAAACAACGTCATGTAAACACTTCATTACTTCACAATTTTAATGTGAAAACCTATACTTTTTCGCGTATTTCTTATAAACTCATAGACTATCTTTTCCTAGAAACAACATACCAATTTCAAGGACATTTTGCGGTGTAGCAGCAACAAAATTCTTGTGACCTGCATCTAAGTCGTACGTGAACATACAATGTTTATTACAAATAAGTTTGTTTTGCAATGAACACAAAAAACTTCAACACAAACAATTATGTATACACGAGCAATACTAATACAATCATTTACTTAAGAACGTTTGTGCACACAGACATGGAACATACAATACTTCAACACAAGTTTTTACTTCAAGATACAATACTTTTACGTCAAAACATATGCGTACACAAACACGGAACATACAATACTTAAAAATACCTTTCTCTTTAATATACAACACTTTTACATCAAAACATTTATGTACACATGCATGGGAAGTACAAGTATACAACTACACAAATACATAATTCACTACTTCTACATACACTGAATTTGCGAAATGTCTTTGTAAACAAACATTACATCACACCGCATATAACATACCTACTTGATGATCATCTTACGGAGTATGGCGTTCATCTCCGCCGCCCACATTCTTTGTATGTTGTTCATCTTCATCTTCATCTTCCATCGCTGGTGCTTGTAAGATAGACTCCTCTCCTATCAGGTGTAATAAACACCTTCATGTCGTAATTACTAAGTAAGGTCGTCTCATGTAACACTAAAATCCATTGGAGTAGTGAGGAGGTCCCTTCTTCGTTTTGTACTTATCGTCTATCGTGAACAGTGTTCGAAAGTCAACAACACGGTAGGGGAGCTGCAAGGGGAAGGGTAGGAAAGATGAGAGAGGAGGCAGCTAAGGTAATTGTGTGAAGATAAATTTCTTGCCTTATATATAGTGTCTACAAGTTGTGTGAGGTTGTATACAAGAAGCAGTTTTGTAAAAAAAGGATGACACCTCATTCTTGAGGGCTCCCAAAACTGACCACCGATCGGACAACTATTTGGGAGAATGTAAATTGAGCTTTAATCATATTCTAATGCTGAACCCGAGACATCTCCCTCGTGACACCGTCTTCCTACTGGCTTCGCCCCCGGTAAGAAACAATTTTGTAAATAATTCATAGAATGTACACGAATTCTCAAAAGTACCCGCACAAGTAGCTCAACTGGTAAAATGATGGGAAAGTTGGAGAAATGACCAATGATCGAAACCCGCAACAACCGTGTGGAGGTCACAACTCCAATGTGTTGGGTTAGGTCTCTGGTGCGCACGGATATAAGATCTATCACCATTAGAATTGATTGAGTCACCGTGATTTACAATCTCTTATATACTCTGTCAGATCGGGGTGTGGGGGGCCCTTGGGGTTGGGGAGTCAAGGACAAATGAATTCTCGAAAGCTTGTTCTCTTACACAGTTACACTATCTAAGAACATTTCCAATGCTACAATGTGCATGGTGCACATGTGGTATGAGAGATAGCCACATAAATATTAGAAAACAAATTATCTTTCTCCTTAATTGAACGGTTTTATACAATTTTCGTAAGTTTTTCTCTGTAATGTGAACCACAATATCAATATCTAGACGGTCCTTCTGACATTATAGAGAAAAACTTACCAAAATTGTATAAAACAATTCAAATAAAGAGGGATAATTTATTTGCTAATATTTATGTGATTATCTCTCGTGCTATATGTGCACGGTGCATATTGTAGCATTGGGGATCACTAAACTGTTGGGACCGGCTATTTGCCAAATGGCATTTGGATTGCCATACGTATAGCCTACCCATCTTACACGTAAAGCTTTTCTTCACTCCACCGCTTTCGTCCATACTACACAAACCAGCTTCACCATCCTCCCTCGATCAATTCAATGGCTTCCTCTTTCGCACCCAGTCTTCGGAGTCTCTCAGTTCTTCCTCCTCCTCTTCGAACCTCACTCGCTCCCCAACCCACCAAACCCTTGAATGTTCGGGGAAGAAGCAGCATTTTTGTCTCCCCTCTTCATGTGTCCGCTCCGCCCACCACCCCTCCGTCTGAAGACCTAACCTGGTACGAACCGAATGAGGTCCAGATAAGTGAAGACGGTTCATCATCTAAATTCAATTGGAGAGAGCATTGGTACCCTGTTGCCCTAGTAGAAGATCTTGATCCCGCATTGCCTACCCCTTTCCAGCTTCTTAACCGCGAAATTGTCCTCTGGTTCGATCAATCCAGCTCCAGTTGGATCGCCCTGGATGACAAATGCCCCCACCGTCTAGCTCCTTTATCCGTAAGCCCACCCTCTCCCCAAAAAAAGAATCTTTCTCCTTGCAATTTGAAGTATTTTGAAAATTGGCTCAGATTTTGTTTGTTACTTTGCTGATATTGTGTGTGATATGTATGGGCAGGAAGGGAGGTTAGATGAAAACGGGCATTTGCAGTGCTCATATCATGGGTGGTCGTTTGGTGGGTGTGGATCATGTACGAGGATACCTCAGGCTTCCCCAGTTGGACCCGAGGCGGGAGCAGCTAAGTCTCCCAGGGCATGTGCTACCAAGCTTCCGACAATGGTTTCTCAGGGACTTCTCTTTGTCTGGCCAGATGAGAATGGGTGGGAGAGAGCTGCTTCCACCACGCCCCCCATGTAACATAACTCCGCTCTCTTGCGTAAGGCAATGTTTGGAACTCTTAAAATGGTAGGTAGGAGGAGGGGGGTAGTACTAAGGAAAATGGGTTTTATTATGTTCGGATCTAGGTTGAACATGGCCAAAGGAAAACTGAATTTTGATTCAAACTTTTTAAGATTTTTAATACTCCGTATATCTATTATCTAGATTATTTAACCTTTGCACGTAGTACAATACAAAGACTTCAATAAGATTAGTTTGAACAAATACCCAGAATTTATTTATGATGTTTGAAGCATCTTTTTATTTTCCCACACATTTCCTTTACGTCCAACTGTCCAAGTATCCTATCTGTTTTCATCTCTGTTTTTATTCCCTAGCATTTACTGAGTTCCAAAACGACCCTAAGTGTTACTATGCTTTTTGACAACTATTCTTGATCATTCCTACAATTCTGTGGAAATTCTAGATGACTTTAGCATAAAACTTATTGAGGTTTAATGACCTTTTCCTGAGTATGTTTTTTTTTCTTGATTTGGATTATAGGTTGCCTGGAGATTTTGATAAACCTGAGTTTGCAACAGTTAGTATTCAACGTGATCTGTTTTATGGGTATGATACTTTGATGGAGAATGTGTCTGATCCTTCTCATATTGATTTTGCACATCACAAGGTATTTATATGCAGTCTTGAAAATCATTTTTGTGTAAGATATGATTTTCTGTACGATGGGATATACATTATGCTGCTGAGGGCTGAAACTATTCCTAAATGTTTAAAGGTGTGGTACTCCTCGTAAAGCATGGCATAGAATGTCGGCACTACATCCATCCCAATCAGTCTTGTTTCTAACCTAAAACTTTTAAATTTTAGTAAGGTAAAACTTTGGAAAGTCATCAATTTTAACCAATGTTTTAAACTTGTTGGTTTTACTAATTTTAACATTCTTCACGGATTATTAAAAAAAAACCAACGAATAATTTAGCTATTTGCGTTCAAATAGACACTTCTTTGGAGAACAAAAAAGTTTTTGGGAATTATTTACAGACAGTATGTTTAGTTGGAAATTTGGAATCAATTGGCTTAAAGAAATTTCTGGTATAGCATGACACAATTGTGTTTGGCCTCAATTCAAAGATCACTTTTGTGAGGCAAGATCATAAGATCACTTTTTAAATTCTCAATTCAATGAGCTTAAGTATGATGTTTGTAGAGATAACCAGTATAATTTCCTCCCGTGTTTGCACATATGATGAATTTTTTGGTACTGCATTTTTACAGTAAATGTCTTTGGGAAATGAAATTGAATGGGAAGGTCTATATGGTACTTCTGGTATTAAGTTGTATATTTGGTAGACCAAATATGGTACCGTTCTTATATGTTAGTGATTTAAACACAATTCGTCCAAATTTAATACTACATATATGTATCATAATTTGAACTAACTCTGAGCTTCCATTCCAAATTTTGTTCTCTTTTATAATTTTGCTACAGAGTAAATATTATTAAATTAAGAACCGCTAAAAATGCGCTTTTAAGCATTAGAAATGACAAATTATTACACATTATGCATTTCTAAAAACATTTTTTTATTTCTATATTTATTTTAATAAACTTTTTGTGTCACAATCATCAAGTCAATCTCTTGTTTGAGTAATACTATCTCACAAGGTTGTAATTTTCGATAAAAGTATGGCTGTATTGCCTAGAGAAATTCCTATGGAAATATTTTTTACGAACTCCTATAGTTGTGGAATCAAACATTCATTTTAGAGGAAGCAGTCTAGCCTAGTTGGTTGCCGACTCACTCTCCCTTACGGGAGGTCTCGGGTTCGAAATTCAATGGAGTGAGGGATGAGAGTTTCATCCCTGATTACTCCGGTCCCCCCACCCCCAGATGCCCCCTGGAGTATTAAAAAAAATCAAACATTCATTTTACCCAAAATAGAAATAATGTTAGAATTGAGACCAAATAGATGTTTATATTTTTCATTTTAATACTTAAAACGTACTCCCTCCATCCCGTAAAGAAGTTCCGTTTCGGTTTATGATGCTTGACTGACGATAAAGCAACTGATCCCTGTTCACACTTAGATTATTTTTACTAAATAAAATCTACATATTCAGAAACTACATTAAAACCGCTACAAAACCTGATAAAGAAAATTTAAATTTGATTAAAATTTGATATATAAAGTAAAAGATTAAGAGTGATTTAACTTGACCAAGTGAGTAGTGAATGAGAATTTCATTTTGGGATGGAGGTAGTATTAAAGAAGGGCAGCCCAGTGTTTAAAACGTAAAAAGTTGAGAGGGGAGTAACATCTTAAGAGACATTATACGACAAATAAAAATTAAATGCATTTTTAAATTTATTAGCGAACCTACTAAATTTTGATGTGTTGTTTGTGGTCCCACTGTCACATTGGCCTTTGCCAATTTTGTATTTTTGTTTATCCCAAAAACTTTGTCACTTTCCCTTTAAAATAAATAATTTGTGATTTCGCTGATTTCTTTCTCATTTGCACAACTATCAATCACACAATTTTAACTTTTCTTATTTCACACCTAACACAAACTTGGCAAATGTCCATTGGGATGGAGGTAATAATTTTTATACGTACAAGTATATGATGTGAATTCAGAAAAGTTTCAGTCTACCAAATAGAAAACTTAATACCATGCAGAATTTCCTATATGAAATTGCAGTTCTGTAAAAGTTTTGTAGAATGTATTAGAGAAGTATTGTTGGAAGAAAGGGGTTTATGAGTTAATTTCTAACAAGTATAAATATTGTCACTGTCTGAAGTTTTAGTTTCCAGTGCTGGAACTGTGTGTTAAATTCCCTATGCACATAAAAACGTATTCATGACATACCTCTCTCTGTCTCTCTATCTCAACATCTGAAATTTACAGGTCACTGGAAGAAGAGATAGAGCCAAGCCCCTTCCATTCAAAATGGAGTCCTCAGGAGTTTGGGGTTTTTCCGGTGCAAATAGTGATAACCCTAAAATTAGTGCTAAATTTGTTGCGCCCTGCTATGCCATGAATAAGTAAGATTATCATCTTGTTAATTGTAAGCTATGTCACCCCTCGCTATGCAATGATTAAGTAATTTGTTTTCTTATGTTTGATTTTACATCTTAGAAATGCAAAGGATAATGATTTTTGAAGAAATATCTAATATCTAAAATGAATATGTTAGGTTTGAACATATTCCTTCCATTTTTAAAATCTTCCTCCCCTATTTACCTAGTACTATGTATTTTTCATGTCCCAAACAGAATACTAGACTAACTTTGGTTTCTTTCATAATTATTGACTTTTATTCATAACATCTGTCCAACTTTTAATTTAAATCTTTTCTGGTGATCTTTCTTAGTGTACTTGTTTGCAACAACATTCTGTAAAGAATATTGTCTCTAGCAACTCAATCTGCAACTATGTTTTGTACTTCTTCAGAATAGAGATTGACACTAAGATCCCCGTTTTGGGGAAACAAAAATGGGTAATTTGGATATGCTCCTTCAATGTACCCATGGCACCAGGGAAGACCCGCTCAATTGTCTGCAGTGCTCGGAACTTCTTTCAGATCACAATGCCTGGCCCCGCTTGGTGGCAGGTAATTGCACTGCTCTTATTTTATTGTGATGGTTTTACATGGAGACATTTACTTTAAACAGACATAAATTTCCTAAGTTAACTCTTTAGGTGTCTAACTAAAGAGAGGAGTTACATTATCACCCTATGTTAGATTGAATTTCGAATTCGTAACTATCTCAATTTAAGATGATCCTGTTGTGCCTTTTGAAGTTCTAGTTAAATGATTTGGGAAAATGAGTTATTATAACAAGATCAAAGAAGACACGTGCTAGATAGCTAAGATGTGATTTGATACGAATATATTCCATTTTTAAGGATTGTGTTTCTACTTCTTATCTTCTTTGTAATCTTTAATTTTTTGTGTAGCTTTTGTGCATTTATATACTCCTCCCTCCCTTTCCTAACTATTGTCTTCAAACATGCTATCTTAGTTAAATGGTTTTCCCAAGTCACGCTCCTACGATTTGGAATTAAAACTTTCTACTTTAGTTCCTTAACATTGCCCTATGCCTAATTGCCTGTGGTTAGCATAACCCTTTATTTATTCATTTATTTGTTGAAAACAGGTAATCCCTAGATGGCAAGAGCACTGGACTTCAAATAAGGTGTATGATGGAGATATGATTGTGCTTCAAGGTCAAGAAAAGATCTTCCTTTCCAAGTCCAGGGAATCCTCTGTAGATATTAACGAAGAGTACACAAAGATCACATTCACACCTACTCAAGCGGACCGCTTCGTGTTGGCATTTCGGAATTGGCTAAGGCGACATGGAAATGGTCAGCCAGAGTGGTTCGGTAGCATTGACCAACTTCCATTGCCATCCACAGTCTTATCCAAATGCCAGGTATTTGTAGTACCATTTTTTACCTCGATCCATATCCAATCATTTTCGAGATAAAAAAATGATGCATTTATCACTTCATCATCTAGGGTTATGTTTGAATTCAAAAAATTGTAGGGAAACGAAAAACTACTTAGGAATATTATATAGTTTAACTATACATATAATAACAGTTGGACAAATATCGAAAATTGATCTATCGAGATGAATTTTTTCTTTTGAATTCTCCGTACATTTACTTTCTCTCCGTACTTACCCTCTATTTTTATCCTTGTGATCTACTCCTAAATGGTAGGCCTACTAAACATAATCTGCCTTAACTGCCTAACCTTGTTGGTGCTTCCTTTTTGTTGAAAATAAATAAACTTCCGAAAGACATGAAGAGATGTACATTAAAAAAAGTTATGATGTAGCCATAGATTGATTGTGTAATTTTGAGTTTTGTCTCTTCGATATTTGATTTCATGACCTTTGGTATAACATCTATAGAAACAATTCATCTCTGTCTATTCTTTTTCATAAACTTTGTACAGACTAAGATGATTTCTCTTTAGTCTTTACCTTGTATTTTTGTTTATTACGGATAACACCATACCCGAAACACTCAGGACCAGGAAGATTCTGATTATACCCAACCAGCTCACATAGTTTGGAAGTAAAAATTAGGCAGGATTAGAAACCTTGAGACTAAAAACATATAGACTAGATCAGATTAGATTCAAAAAGGTGAGATATTTTTTAAAGCAAAAAAGTATAGGTCCTCCAAAACTGATGATTGATGAATCATATTGCATTTTCCATGTTTGTAATGTTATACAGATGCTGGACCGGTTCGAGCAGCACACTCTGAAATGCTCGTCTTGCAAAAGCGCACACAACACCTTTGAGACATTGCAGAAGTTTTTGGTTGGTGTCTTCGTTTTCTGTTCCTCAACGGCCGGAATCCCTTTCGACATCAGATATCGAAGTGTTTTGGGCGCGTTGGGGATTGTGAGTGCCGGCTTGGCATACCTCTTGCATGAACAAAAGAAAAACTTTGTCTTTATAGATTATGTACATGCAGAAATAGATTAAGGATGATTGTAAGTATGTAGATTGACCAACTACCTTTTAAACGATCAAACCCACATTTGTGTAGAGTATATATGTTTGTGCTTCGTATGAATATATGAATATTACAACGTAACCATAAAATGATACTCCCTACGTCCCAAAAAACTTTACCACTTTCCCTTTTAATCAATTATTTTGTGTCAATTATTTTGTGGTTTCTGTCATTTCTCCCCTCTGCACAAATCTCAACCACACAGTTTTCACTTTATTATTCTCCGTGCCGGTCAACTTTGGCAAAGTTTTAAGGGACGGAGGTAGTAGCCATTAGCCACATTTTGGGGTACTCTCCATCTAAACTTAGGGATCGACCTGGGCCGGTCCGATTTCGGGCCGGGTCCGTCCGGGCTCGCACAGTAGTGGGCCCAGTCCATCCCTATCTAAACTTAAACTTCTCATTTACCTTTTTAGGACTTTCTAGTTAAAGCTTCACATTCCTATTTTAAGAAATAATTAACTCCTAAATGATAAATTAATCATTGAATATTAAAAATACTACACCTATAGCATCAATGATCTCATTATGTTATATACTCATAAAAATTATTTTTGAAAATAGACTCCTAAATAATTGTATTATCTAAACTTAACAGGATAGAGGTAGTTCAATTATTTTTTCCCGTGAAATAACACATTCGAAAACATGAACACTAATGTTTAAACTTATTGTATTAAGTTAGGGGGTGAGACCTATTTCAGTGCTTGTATATTGACTGAATCGCTAAATTAATAAAATGATACTCTCAAAATATAATAATAATTGCCTTACGAATAGGAATTTAAAATAATAGTTGAACCTAATGGTATAAAAAATTGAAAGATTGCATTAATATATTTGAAAGATATTTTTCATATTGCATAAATAGTTAGTTTAATAATGAATTGATATTAAAAATTATTATGACTATTAATCAATAATTAATAGTGATGTACTGATGTTTATAGAACATGATACAATATTGTAAACGACATTCCATGGAAGAGTAACGATGATCAGAGTTTATGTAAACAACTTTATACTGAGTAAGTTCAAGCTAAGCCTTTATTCAGTTGAAAAATTACAAATGTATCCCATTATGTTATTAAAAATAATGTAACTTTGAATAACTATCTTGAAAAATAATGTTATACAGTAGTACTATCTTCGCCCTAATTTGTTTTACAAAGTCAATATTTTTTATCAATCAATGTTAAAGTTAATCTTCCCTATTGATAAGTGATTCAATTTTAATAATTAGAATTTATATATTCAGAAACTACATTAAAATCTATACAAAAGTTCCGAAATCCAAATTAAAATTTAATTAAAAATTGGTATCCTAATTAAGAGTATACTCTTTTAATTAATTAATATGAAATATCTTGAACAAAAAAGAGTATATTCTTTTAATTAATTAAAATGAAATATCTTGAACAAATATATTCAATGCAATTCAAATGCTTGTGCAAGTTTTGTACTCCACTCGGACTTGAATAAAATTCTCACTTTCATTTTTTAGCAGGTCCAAAATAAATTCACACTTTCATATTTTGTCTAATATAAAGTTACTCTTAAATATACTTGAAATTACTTGAATTCTTAAGTGTGGAAATTAAAATTTTAGTTAGAGATTGTTAACTTAGAAATTCTATATTTTGTTATGTGTCATATGATTACTGATCAGCTAAATATAATCAGTGTGCAGAAATGACATACTAGGTACCAGGTATCGATGTAGTACCAGGTACCAGGGGTCCTAGTTCGGAATCTGGTCCGTAAAACCGGTCCCGATGTAGTACCAGGTACCAGGGGTCCCAGTTCACACATTTGGGGACTGAACCTGTAGTTCCGGTCTCGGACCGGCCAATTTTTTTAACCTTGAAACGAAAAAGAAAATAGAACGGGATCGGGTCCGGCCCGAGACCAGAATCGGGCAAGACCCGTATTTAACCGGGTCGAACTCAGGCTTCTCCTGCCACTAACCCGGACCGAGTCCACCCATATGTACAACCATCTCATCACATTACATTGAGCCAAACACATTCTTAAAGAGGTTTTAGGATGTGTAATTGATCTCATTATATTCTAGACATAAATCTTATAGGCATCAATACTAGAACATTTAATTATGTTTGCCATCACTGATTTCCATTTTCACCTACCTGTTATAATAATATTTCCTTTTTCATGAAAAGGAATTATATTAAAATAAGCCGGAAAGAGTACAAAAGGGAAAAGGGAACAAAAAATGAAAAATAAAGTGAAGGGAACATAAAATAAAAAACAATACCCAACTCAAAGTCCTGTATCCCTAGAGAACCCCAAGTGAGCTCACAAGTCTTCAAAATCCCACGCGCGTTTGAGATTTAGTCATCATAAGATGTAATCGTTGATTTTTTCCTACATTTTTGTTTGAGTGTTCAAATTTTCAATAGGCAACAATTTTCTCATGTCACAAACAAAGTTTTTTCACAAATATTCTGATTTTCATTCGATTAAATTTAGATATTCTTTAAGTGTAATATATACTAGTATGTATTACTGATTAGTAATGGGATAGTACTCACTAACACGTTTAACCACTCGAAGTTTATGTTTAAGGAGTGCCTTGTTAAATTGGCTTGTTGAGTTCAAAAAAGTAAAAACTTGAGTAGTTGAAAAAACAACCGTGTCGATTCAAGTATTTTCTACGGAGTATGATTCTATCGGTTGATCTAACTTTTTTCAATATTGCCAATTTTGATCATTTTGCACTACCATAATATACCATACTTAGGATTTTATATATCATTGTAATTTGTAAATATAAAGTTACATGTTATAATATGCTTATATGTAATTATTAAATTTCATATAAGTAGACATTACCGAGTGTGTGTATATATAGAGAGAGAAAGAGTACTATTCTGGTCAGGAATTCTTGACCAGAACAGTCATCCGGACGATGGCTTTTGGGCCCTTTCCGATAGAATTTTTTGATGAAATTTTAATGTCATGTTTTTCATCAAGTTTAGTTCAACTACAAAATATTTCAGCTAAAAATTCAATAGGGAAGGATGTCAAATGATTTTTGTAAGATAATTGCGCCAAAATATACACATAAAACGGAGTTAACTTTCAAAATTTATTTGACGACCTTCCCGAATGAATTTTTGGCTGAAGTTTTTGTGGATAAACTAGACTTGATGAAGAACGTGTCATAACAATTTCATTAAAAACTTCCACCGCGAAGGCGGCCAAACGCCGTCGTCCGGACGGCGATTCCTGTCCGAAATTCCTAACAGGAAGAACGATGCTTAACGTGAGAACGTGAGAACACTCACGTTTAAATCATATGGTGCACAATGTAGCTATTTTGTTGCACATTTTCAATTTGTTCGAATTAAGCCTACATTAAATAACACGGTGACATTTTGGTAAATATTGTGAAAACACGAAAAGTGCAATATACAAGCTTCATTGTGCAACACGTTGAGGTAATTGTGGTGTTCTCACGTTCTCACGTTAAGCCTTGTTCTTATTTGATCTTTAATCTATATATATATATATATATATATATATATATATATATATATATATATATATATATATATATATATATATATATATATATATATATAGGGGAAAGATCAAGTACAACCTGTGCTTATTGTGTAAATGTTTGTACGATGCACCTTGACGTTATTTGCATTGCATATTGAAGTTCAAAGTGTTGCATATTATATAGTCATAAAATAGTAGTTGCACATTTACGTTCAATGTGTTGCACCCTAGAAAAGTTAGGTTTTATTACAAAAATGCCACCTTGCATTTATACTCTTTAGATCAACTCATCGGATGGCCAAGATAAGTTTGTACTTTGTAAATTAAGCATGATTTGTATTTGATCTCTATTCTCTCTATATAGTATGCCATTTTGCACTCCAATGGTTATTCTCAAATTGCTTTTTTTTATCAAAAGCTTATATGAAGTACAAAACCAGTTAATCAGTCAAATTCATCAACATAATCAATTGTTGACAACCCACTAATATAATCAGCTATTGTATTAGCTAACGCCTAACTGGCTAACACCTAACAACTGTGACAAACAATGCTTAATTGTTAATATTTGTTTTTTACTAACATATTTATTTTTATGTTTACAAATAGACAACTGTAATCAATATTATATTTAATTCTCCACTAATTAAGATATTTGTTATGTTAAGGATCTACTTGGAAAAAAATTTGAAAAGATTATACATAACAGAATCAGTCCAATTTTCCAATTTTTCTTTTTGGGTCATCCCAAAAAATTCTTCCAGTTTACCACTTTTGGATAATTTATTTGGATCACATTCATTTTACCTTTTTCTTACACAACTATAACCATACATCTTCACTTTACTCTCACTTCCTTAATATGCGTGTCAAGTCAATGTGAGAATTTTTTTTTTGGGACGGAAGGAGTATTATAGTATTACATTTCTTAGTGTTGACATAAACTCTGGAATTCTACTACGTATGCAAAAAGAGGAACACATTCCAAACCTTAGAATCGTTAGAACCGATGTTTGATTATAGGTATGATAAATCTCAATCTAATTTACGGTGTAAGATATGCATCAGCCCGTATGTATAGGGATAAACTTTTGCTAGAGGCATCTTTGGAAAATGGCATTTCAGCAAAAACAAATGGCGATTTGACTTTATTTAGCGTTTCCAATAAGTGAAAACGTTGTTTGGTAAAAAATTGTCCGACCATGATGTTTAAGGACGGAACCGCTGAAATGGAAATGCTGCAAATATGAGAGTTTTGGATTATCATTTTGAAATATGTCATTTTCAAATAATTATTGTGGCCAAACAACTTGCAAATTGATGGCTTCGCATAAATATGAGTGTCGAAAAGTTGCTAAGAATAGATCGAGTAAGAAATTTTGCATAGTGTGCTTGAAAATACAGAATGTGATCCCTTTTCACAAGTTGAAAAATGATATTTACAGTATAAAGGAAATATTTGGATAACCGACTAGACCGAAAGGTAAATTTTATCGAACAACAATTAGGCCTGTGATACGTTTGTAATTTCCATATGTATGTTTGTGTTTTTAATTAGTTTTGATTGATTTTTACTTTGGAAATTACACACTTTTGGT